GAATAAAGATACTAGATTTGATTTTAAAGGTTCAGCAGGACCACGATCACACATACCCTCATCCACAATTGTACAGCACCCCCCACATGCGTGCACACGCTCACACACACATCACCCAAGACCATGGTGATTCTTGGTGTATACCACCCTAACTTGACAGTTATTGGTGCCTGAGTTGTTTCTTTCACATTATGTATTGTGTCTATAATTCAGTCAGGTGAAAACTCTGACACTTTTTTATATTGGCAGAAGTACTGAGTTAAAGTTGAGCCAACAAAAGTTGAGCATCTTCATTGGCTTCTAAAGACCCAGATAGCAGTTTTCTATTGCATTTTACTAATACATTAGTTTCACTAATCACTTTACTGCTTCACAGTTTGGTGTCTGTAAGCAATCAGTTAATCTTGTTGCTCAGCACAGCTCAGCACAGCCCAGATTAAACCTAACAGCAGGACAGTCACTCTTGGACTTGGATTTTCTGTCCAAGTTTGTGGTGACTCTTCATACCAGGAACTTGACTTACTTGGAGGAAATCTGTATGACTTTAGAGCTCTTTACAGAGTCCAATATGGAACAAACACAATAGCTTTATAGCTCCTCCTCAACAAGTCAAATCTGTAGGCACTGGGGAATGTAAGGTGTAGCTGGGCTCTGTCCAGGGTCCTGTAGCAGTGTAGCACTGTAGCACTGTCCTCCTGTTGTTTATCTATATACTCGAGTGGGCACCAGTAACATCTCCATTGTGAGACTTGTTGTTACTGTTTTGGGCATACTGAATACGTCACGGGGAGCTTGCCAGGCTTTGCCGTACAGGCAGGATACTCTTGATAGCTTGCTGGGCTCTCTGAGAGGGGTGGAGGAATCGAAATCGGGTCGGCCTCATGCAAGGCAAATGCCCTACCCTCAGTGCTTTTGCTTCAGTCTGACCCAGTAATATATTTAAAAATACGGGGTCAGCGCAATAGTATAGCAAGTAGGCGTGTACTTTGCACTCCGTTGACCTGGGTTTGATCCCCCGCATCCCATATAGGCTTCAGCGTCTGCCAGGAATGATTCCCGAGAGTAGAGTCGGGAGTAACTCCTGAGTATTGCCATGTGTAGCCCCAAAACAAAATCACCACCAAACAAACATAAACAAAACATGACATACACACACAAACAATTACAGGTAGGGGTCTAGAGCTAGTACAGTAAGGCTTTAGCCTTGCACGTGGCCAACCCATATTCAATCCAGGGTCCTGAGGAGACTTAAATGAGAACCGGCTTGTCCCACTCAGCGTCAGTCCTCTCTCTCCCACTGCAGGAGGCCATAGGTACAGATGATTAAGGAATGGTGGTACTGAGAGTCAGTCTGGTGTAAAACCAGTTTAATTAGGTACGAAATGTTATCTTTTCATGTCTGAGTAACCGATTTGAGCCTCCTTGAGATGATTCATCTTAAACCTCTAGTCCTCGGGGGTGATGGCGCCAGCACAGCTCCCCCGAGTGCGCCTGTCCCCAGAGAAGAAAGCGTCAGCTTTGGAATACCACTCACAAAGGGAATAGAGGGAATTTTTTTAAAAACTTGAGGCAGTGATGATTCTCAGGCCTTTGTAAGAGTTTTTGAACCATGCCTACTCACTGCAGGCTTACTAAGTTCTGGTATCTCCATAATGAAATCCACAGTGACCGGCTTATATTTCATAACGTATAAGGGCAGTGACGTGGGAGCCTCCTGCTCTCGGCCCTGGGGAGAATCTGACCCCCAAAGTCAGACTCTTCTCCCAAGGGTGGGAGAAACTGGTGAGGATGAAAAGGCAGCTAATGACCTCAGGCAGTGTGGACAGTCAGACCTAGGGGGTCTCTGAGCTTAAAATATGGGGTAATATAAGAGAAGCAGCAGCTAAAGCTCTCACTGGTGAGTGTACCTCACACACTGCAGAGAAGCTCTGACAGCAGCGCCACATGCTACCCTGTACAACAGATGTTGCTGGCAAATATTCATGGATCTTGTCCACACAGGACTCACTTGACCTCAGGTACTCATGAGCACTGGGGGGAGTATGACTGAGAGTCATATCATTTCCCCCTTCCCTTGTAGGGAATGATATTATGCAGGTGGGATGGAAAGTGCACACCACATAGTATCCAGCTTGTGGAATTCTACTCAATTTTCTGTACATCCATATGCACGATATGTAATTCAAAAATGATGTGCTGAAATGGTAATTTTCAGTGAATTTGGAACAGACTTCAAGTTTTGTTAAAATACGAGTAGCATTCCAAGAATTTATATCTCATTATGAAAACATCTTTGTGGTTGGCATAGATTAATTTAGGAAAATTTTATTATGCAATAGATTTTCCACAGAAAAACTGTTGTTCTATGACATATTGTAGTTGAAAAAATTCTCTTTAGAGCCTTTTTGATTTGGGCAGAATCTTATTTGAAATTTAATATGGCTATTACTGAATAATTTATGAACTTTAAAACTTGTAGGGAAATTAAGAATTTAAGTTATTTGGAAAGAAGAAAGGTGTTTAAATTATACCCAGTTTATTCATTTAAATTGAAGTCATCCATTTAAGCCATTATTGTATAACTTGTTTTTTCTTCCACTCTTATAATATCTTCTAAACAAATCTCTTCTGGGGTTCTTATTTCATTTTTAAAGATGGTTTCCTTTCCCTTGGGCAAGATGAGTGCACATTTGGGTTGGAGCCAGATCTTTCTTGATCTGCACAAAAAGACATGAGTTTAATTGTGGATTTATTTTGACATAATTTTTTCTTTAAATATATAGGGAAAGGATAACTTTTCAACTGCTTTGTTGCTCTTTCCAGGTAGTCTGAGCGGTGGCAGGGATTGGCCATGGTTTCGCTGACGTTTCTCTCTGGGTGTGAGCAGTGAGCCCTGCTCTGTCCAGGGCCTGCTCTGCTTTGCTGGGGAAGGAAGCGCAGCATGGAAGTGAGCACTCAGCAGGGAGCCAGCAGCCGCTTCCTCAAGGGTCTTGATTTCATGTTTATGCAGCTTTTTATTTCAATCACAACAGGTGGCTTCAGGGTTGCAAAATAACAATTTTTCTTCCATTTGCTGTCCTCAAACATCACTAAATCGATGTTTCAGACAGATAATAAGTTTATTGTGACTCTCTCTTAGTAAACTATTAAGTATCCCTAGGGCTCACATTTGTCCGTCCTGAAAAGAGTGGCTTAGGGTGCTCAGGCCTCGGTAGGGCATCCGGTAGTGGTGCAGGCATCCCTGTCTGGCCCTAGCTCCCCAGACACCCTCTCCTGCCTCTCTTCTCTCTCTCTTATCACCTAACCAGCACACAGGCTTTCATTTGCTAAATCATCTTTTTGTCCTTAATCTTTTCAATTTGATTTTCTTTTTGAAGTGTTTCTGTAACTGCCTTAACAGCTCTTTTGTTCACTGGCTTCCTTTGGGTTTCTTCTTTTCTTTTCAGATTTTGGCCCCTCCCATCTTTCATCATTTCTACCATTAGCGGCAAGCCAGTGTGTGATGCCACCTAGGGTCTCTATGCTGTGGCGTCAGAGGTTTGTTCTCTCTAGGGGCATGTGCGCAGGCCGTGTGCTTTAGGGCCCATCGCTGTCCAAGGAGATGGATTCATGTGTTGTCCAAGTCTGGCCACAGGAGCAGTTACTAAGGGACTGGAAACAAGCAACCCCAGCTGTCAAAATTTTCATTTTAAGACATTTTCTATTTTACTGATGTCTAATATGAATTATGTAATCGAAAATTTCTAAGAAAACAAAATATTATTTATTTTTTTATTATTTATTTTTTCCAAAATTTTATTTTATTAAAGCACTGTGAATTCCAGATATTCAGAGTTGGGATTTGTACATGCAATGTGCCATCACCAGTTCCTCCGCCCCCTCCCCAGCCAGCCTGCCATCTTGGCATTTTTAAGTTTGGTTATTAGAGTGTTTGGGTCTGTGGTATTTAGCTCCGTCATTCCTTAGCAGCACCAGTGTACCTGAATCCTCTTGACCCTTGCCTGTTTCTTCCCATCTGTCTCCTCTCTTCCCCTTCACTCTGTTTCTTCCCTTCTCCTCCCTATACTCTGCAGCCAAGGATGATCTCGGCAACCACTCTTTTAAACCATTGCGTTTCCTCGTCCAGGTACACTAAATACCACATATGAATGAGATCATCCTATGTTTGTCCTTCTTCTGACTTCATTAGCATGGTATCTTCCAGTTCCATCCATGCTGCAGCAGTTTGTGTGATTTCATCATTCCTTACAGTTGCATAGTATTCCATTGTATACATATACCACGTCTTCATGACCCACTGGTTTGCTGTTGGACTCTAGGTTGATTCCAAGTCTTAGCATTGCACTGAGTGCTGCAATGAATAATGGTGTGCATATGCCCTTTGGGATGTTTTTCTGTTCTGGGATAGATACACAAAAATGAAATTGCTGAGGCATATGGGAGCTCAATTTTAAGTTTACTGAGAAATCTCCATGCTGAGTAGACACATGCTTATGAGTTATACATGAAAATTGATTTTAGTAATGTAGCTTATATAATATATTCACAACAAATTATGAGTGATATTTTCAGATGAGGCTAATACAAATATAATGATACATTTTTCTGCACTCCATTTGATGTATTTTATTTTTTTATACTAAGTATCTGACCTGATATGTATTTTAAACTTACTGTAGCACATCTTCATTTGAACCAGCCAGATTGCAGGCACTCTGCCCAAGTCTGTAGCTAGTGGCTGCCATATTGGACAGTGGAGATCAGCTTCATTGTGGTAAAGTGTGTCAGGATTTGTACCTCTTGAACATATTAGGAACTGTCTGGAAAGGGGGGGCCATGGTTTCCATCTTTAGCAAAATCTTTTAAATGGAATAAAATCTTTAAATATACTGATGGGCATGGTGTTTAGTGTGCCTATGTCATTCATGGTCTGTAACAAAAGAGCCTCTCGATTAATGTAGCTGGGATAATTCTTCCTTCTCTGCATTTGTGTTTTTCAGGCAGAAGGCACCCGACTTCAGCGAGAACTCCGAGGCTACTTAGCAGCCATCAAAGGTAATGAATGTGTGGGTTGTTTCCTGCATATCACCAAGCACAGCTTGTTCTTGGCATTCCTACGTGAAAGGACAGACTGCTAATCACAAAGCTATTGGCATTCTGGCTAGGTGTGCACTTGAGCAGAAGTATTCATTGTCCCAGCCCCCACATTCCCATTGAAACAGTAATACAAAGATACAAGGTAAAATGAGTCCGTCCTTTATGCTGGGAACTAGGAATAAGGACCTCCAGAAGGCAGAGATTTCTGGGAAATTTATTAGATAGAGTGAGCTTGAGACCCTGCTTTGGAAAAAACTGCAGTAGGTCTGTATCTTGAGGGAGAGCATATCCCAGCGGTAAAATGCTGACACAGTGACATTTAAATGGGTAACAGGAGGCAGCAAGGCATAATGCAAAGGCAATGCTGGTTAGTGAAGAGACCCATGTCTCTGGACTCAGCCTGAGTCTGGACTCTGGGAATCCGCGACCCCTGGAATTCTGCCAACTGAAAGGGCTCTTGTCTTTTTCTTTGTCTTCCCTTTTTTAAATTTATTTTTGGTTTTGAGGCTACACATGGCAGTGCTCACGGTTTACTCCTATCCCCATGCTCAGGGGTCACTCCTGGTAGGATGCAGGGAATCGAATTGCTGCTGTCCTGTTGCTCCTGCACCTCTGCCACTGGGTGGACACAGGGAGACCCAGTACTGGTCGCTGACCTTAACCATGGAAAACAGTGTCTGAGGCTGGTGTGGAAGGAAGAGAGAATGGGCACTGTGCTTCCTCTCTGTTGGCTGTAATTATACCACTCCTCACTGAGTCACACACAAGGATGCCCAGGAGTGACGGGTCACAAGACAGAGTTTAGGGTTGGGAGAGGAGAGAATCTGTAAAGCCTCAGATAAATTGACCAGGTACTCAGGAAAAAAGAAAGAAATTCACATCCTCACACTCTCCCTCGCTCCTCCACATTTCCAAACATAGTGAAGGTGTAAATATACAAAGAATTGCTCTAAATTAGTAGAATAAAATGCAGTAATTCTAGTCTTTTGAGTGATAAGACTTTTGTAAGGGTTAATTAAGGGAACGATTGATTTCACCTCATAGGAAGTGCATATGTTTGTAAAACATGTTTTAAAATGTTTGACAACATTTAATGGAAGTTAACTAAGAATAAAAAGAAAGCTCAGTATGTTAAAGAAATGTATGTTGCTTAGGAGCAAAACCTGATAGTACAAACATATGAAGATTAAAATTAGCCAAGAAAGAGCAACAGATGGATTATAAATGTGAAAAATGCTTGTCTTACGAGTAATCAAAGAATATTAAAACAAATAGAGATGGTCTAATTTTTCCAAATGTTCAAAGATGTCAAAAATGGTGAAGACCGGGGCCTAGAGTGATAGCACAGCGGGTGGGATGTTTGCCTTGCATGCGGCTGACCTGGGTTCGATTCCCAGCATACCATACGGTCCCCTGAGCACTGCCAGGGGTAATTCCTGAGTGAAGAGCCAGGAGTAACCCCTGAGCATTGCCGGGTGTGACCCAAAAACAAAAAAAATTTTAAAAAATGGTGAAGACCTATTATTGGCAGAGCTACGGGGTGAATTCCTTTGAAATATCTTTGCTGGTGTATTTACTTTCTTGGAGAGCAATTGGGAAAATTCTTCAAATCAATATTTTTGTGTTATTTTGTATTTTTCTGGTTTTTTTTTTGGGGGGGTCACACTTAGTTGCTGCTCAGTGCTTAATCCTGGCTCTGCACTCAGGAATTACTCCTGGTGGTGCTTGGACCTCTTATAGTCTAGGACTCCTTCTTGGAGAACCCGGCTAGCTACTGAGAGTATCCTGCCCACTGACAGAGCCTGGCAAGCTCCCGTGGCATATTAGATATGCTAAAAACAGTAACAATGATGCGTCTTATTCTCCTTACCCTGAAAGAGCCTCCAATGCAGCACCATTGGGAAGGACGAGTAAGGAGAGGCTGCTAAAATCTCAGGGCTAGGACGAATGCAGACGTTACTGGTGCCCGCTCAAGCAAATCGATGAATAATGGGATGACAGTGACAGGGACAGTGATGGTGCTTGGAGGACCAAATGTAGTGCTGGGAGAAGTGTTGGGGTCCTTGGTGAGGGTGGGTATACTGTTGATGGGTGTGGTGTTGTCTTTATGGGCATGAGAAACCATTATTAATAATACTGTAAACCACAGAATCTCAATAAAACTTTTAAAATAGTTTTAAAAATATTTTTATAGTTATCTTATGTAAGACTGAAGCATTAAAAAGGAAATAAGTACAAACGTATATAAAAATCACTAGGAAGTTTTTCCCAACTAACTAAAATCAGAAAGTTTGGTTTGTTTGATGTCAGTTGGACAAAAATTATTCAATTATAGTTCATAAATATTCTTTGCTTTTTATTCAAATTTTGTTAATAAACACTTTTCAACTCTACCAACAGATTTCTTGTTTATCAATATTTTGGAGGGATAGGGCACTTTTCAGGTCACACCCGGTGATGCTCAGGTTACTCTTGGCTCTGCCCTCAGGAATTACTTCTGGTGGGCTCAGGGGACCATATCGGATGCCGGGGATTGAACCCAGGTCAGCCGTGGGCAAGACAAATGGCCTCCCCACTGTACCATCACACCAGCCCCATAAATTTAATTAAGTTTTTCACATTCATATAATAATAAAAAAAATCAGCAAGAAAAAAATTAGGCTATACATTTCAGTCTGCATATTTTTGGAGGCCTTGCTTTCAGCCTTAATGAGAATCAGAGAGAATTAATGTCTCTTGGGGAGAATTCAGCAAGGGAAAGTAGCTGCCTGTTGGCCAGCTGGGAGCCTAGCTAGGAATGGTGAGGACTGTGAAAGCAAAAGGGCGTTGGTTATGGCTAAGAACTTGGGCGTTAGTACTGAACAGGTGATGGTTAAGGGCCGTGTAGGAGAATCAAAGGTATCTGGGAGGTGGCCGGAAATAACGGTGTAAAAAATCCTGATGTGGGGAAAATGAACACCCAAAGCTCTCCTGATCACCATTGATTTCTTAGTTGTTGGGGACCCCTGTTCCCAGGTTGGGTATCTGAGCCCCTTTCACGCGCGCGTGTGCGCGCACACACACACACACACACACATTCCTTTATGTGCTTCTTGAAACTGTATGAGTATTTTCCTGTCTGCTTCTTCCTCAGGCAGCTGCAGTCTTCATAAATGACTGCTGAACAGTGGGCAGAGCCACAAGAAATTTGCGATAATTCACATATTCTTTTATCAGGTTGTGCTGTAGCTGGTATTGTCATGATGTATTTTAATGATGCTATTTTTAACTACAGCAGATACTTTTGGACTGTCCAAGCAAAGAGAACTCTTGTAGCAGTGCAGACTATATGCAGCAGCTCTAGAGAGTGAAAATAGAAATCCCCAATTTTGCTGTAAATAGGTTGGAGCTAGAGGCTGTTACGTTTCATGGAAAAGTTTCAGTGTTTCAAAGAGATGAAAGTGATTTCTGCCTCCATCACATGATTCTCTATGTGATGTTGTACATATTTCTTAAAATTTCGGAAACCACCACTCTTATAACTATTGGATTTTAAGTATTATTAATGCCAGAGGTGGTATTTCACATTCTTTTCACTTTAATTTTTGCCAGACTGCTTTGAAAGGTAGTACGTTTTAGCTTTTCCCCCCTCTATTTTATGATGTCAGCATAGTTGATCGCTGGATCTATAAAAGCCTGCTGGTCTCTTTCCTTTTTAGAACAAAACAGTGTCTTATTTACTTGTGTTTGATTTCCTATGCAGTATTCTAGAAACATTTCCAATACAAAATGAATTCTTTCCAAGTTCTTTATCATTGCTATACATGCAGCAATTAGGAGTTATTTTGGGCTGCTAATAGACATCTTTGCCACAGCATTGTGACTTTAGCCCCAGTGATTAAGGTCTTGTAAAATTTTATTTTGAGCTTGCATTCATACATTTTTTTCTTTTTCTTTTTGGGTCACACTCAGTGATGCTTAGGAGTCACTCCTGGGTCTATACTCAGAAATTACTCCTGGCGGTGCTTGGGAAACCACGTGGGATGCTGGGGATCAAACCCTGTTTGGCTGCGTGCAAGGCAAATGGCCTACCCGCTGTACCCACTCCAACCCTGAATTCATAGGTTTTTTGTTGGTGTTTTTTTTTCTTCTTACTATTTTTTGCTACTAAGGTTATCTGTCCTACAATGCTCCATTTTTTTCTTCTTCCTTTCAAAATTTCAAAATTCAAAATTTCAAAGAAAATTTCAGTAGCCTTTGATATCTGAACTGTAACTGGGAGGTGGAGGGTGTCAGTTAGTGATTCACCCTTAGTGTGACTAGGGTTGACCTGAGGCTGAGTTTGATTGTGCTGTTATATCAAGGTGTCTGAGGGAGGATTTGAAACTTGGGTTAATGCTGCTGCCCTTGCAGTGGTGACCCGGGTTTACCCATGGTGGTATTCTAGCTCATTAGATTCAGAGTGTTAGTGGGGAAATGTAGCTTTTTTGTATCTTTTTGGGTCTGATTGTATACCTCCATGACTCAGTTTCTTCCATATGAGTCCACAGAGACCTGAAGCGTTTCTTCCCCTCCTGCATCTTGTAGCAGCATCTGGTTTCAGCATGTAAGGTGTGTACTGAGTTCCCCAGCTCACCCTTCCCCAAGCAAAGTGAGGATCTTTCTGGGATGGATTCTGAACCACCACCCACAGGACTCTCACAGGCAGAGACCAGAGACCTGCCCACATCTCATCAGACGAGGGAGGGGACATGTTCTGTGCCTGCAGTCATTGGTGTCACCAAATGCCAAACACCACATTTCTTGTGGATTCTGATACCTACTCTTTACGATAACCATCTCTCTGTCACTCTGAAGTCATCATCTCCCTGCATCACTTCAGAGTGACAGATGTTGGTATCCTGTCCTCTCTCCTTCACTGCTGAACTCATCCCTGACCACCTTCTAAATAGGACATTTGTGATGGATCATGAGTGTCTCAAACACTTTCCACCTCGTATTCCATGGCATTACTTTATGAGACATGTTTGTGTCTACCGATCTTTTCCTCTTCTGCTATTATCTAGCTCCCTTTCCTGCTCCTGGGGCAGAGGCTCACCCGGACAGTCACTGGAAAGACCCCGATGTGGAGGGGGCTTCCAGGCCAGCAGCCGGAAGTACCATCCTTTCTGCTGCCATCTTGTGTTCAGTAGATTATTCCTGTGTCTACTCTTCCTGGAGATGCTGTCCTGGGCATTTGTTTCTCAAGTCCAAAATTGCTTGGACCCACCAGGGCCACCTTGGTGGTGCTCAGGGACCCTCTATTTTGAAGGAGGAATAGAGGGGGAGATGGAAAAGATTTGGTGATACTTTATATCATGATATTGCTCTCAGGAAATACATGTGTCCTGTTTTTAACCATACTTTTTGTTAAAGTACCCAGTGTACCTCTCAGGAAAAATCTGACTCATGAAGTTAAAAATGCTAAACTTTCCAGAACTTAACGATTTAAAACTATATAGCTTTTAAACATGATATTGGAAAAAGTTCATCTTTTTTTTTCCCCTTTAGAATCAGTTTAGGACACTTGAATCACTTTTAACTACAGGACCCTCTTGAATTTGTTTTGTTACCACCTCTAAAGAATGGTTGTTTTGAGGGCTGGAGAGATAGCACAGCGGGGAGGGCATTTGCCTTGCATGTGGCTGACCCGGGTTCGATTCCCAGAATCCCATATGGTCCCCTGAGCACCGCCAGGAGTAACTCCTGAGTGCAGAGCCAGGAGTAACCCCTGTGCATCGCCAGGTGTAACCCAAAAAGCAATAATAATAATAATAATAATAAAGAATGGGTTTTTTTTTTTGTATTTTCATTCATTTAGGATTGAGTTTATTTTTCAAGATCCCTGGTGTTTGTCTCTGGCTCTGGGTTTTGGTGGACCAGGCTCTGTGCTCAGGGGTCACTCTCCGCTAGTGCTCAGGCTGGAGGTGGAGGCTGGGATTCCTGCTTTCAGAGTGTGTGCTCAGCCCTGCAGTGCTCTCCAGCCTAGATCAGTCTTGTGATGGACCCATATTCTAGGCATTCTGCATATCCATGGTTCACTTCCTAGGACATCTTGTTGTTGTTTTCAGAATGGGGAATCTTGTTAATGTTTTTCTAGACCTCAGTGTCTCTTCTTATCAGACAAGCAGCAGTCTGTCCTCTTGATTATCTGAACTAGTTATTCCTAGGAACCATTCTCTGTCCAAGGAGAGGGATGGGAGGAAGAAGCTATGCAAACGTTTCTGTCTAACTGGAGTTTCTGTCCCCACCTAGGGATGCAGGAGGCCTCCATGAAGCTCACCGAGTCCCTGCATGAAGTGTACGAGCCTGACTGGTACGGGCGGGAAGACGTGAAGATGGTTGGGGAGGTAAGCGTGGCCTGGCCTGGCACTGTCCCCGACTCTATTCCCACTCTGTCATGATACTGAGTGACGCTTCATACCCAGATAGTGCAGTGGAATTTCATACTAATACTCATCTAACATTTCAAGTTACTTATGAACATTCATCTAGATTCACTTGGGCAATAGATCTGTATTCAAGATTATTTTTCTTCCAGCTAAGAGTTTTTTTTTTTTTTAGCAAACTGAACAGAAACAAACCCTTTGTCTCTGACACAAAACCACAGAAACATTGACTGTCAGGGGAGAAGGGGGAAGGCGGGGAATGAATGGGGTGAGGAGCTTGTTTGGGAGGTGATAAACGGGTAGTGCCTTCATAGACTCAAAGCCTGAAACTCCCACAGTATTGTAAAACATGTTCCAGATTATATATTTTTTCTTTTTGGATCACTCCTGGTGATGCACAGAGGTTACTCCTGGCTCATGCACTCTGGAATTACTCCTGGCAGTGCTCAGGGGACCATATGGGATGCTGGGAATCGAACCCGGGACAGCCGTGTGCATGGCAAATGCTCTACCTGCTTTGCTGTTGCTCCAGCCCCCTCCACAATATTTTTTATCGTGGTCTTTGGGGCCACACCTAGAAGTGCTCAGGACTTATTCCTGGCTCTCAGGGATGACTCCTGGTGGGACTCAGAGGACCATATGGGGTACCAGGATTGAACCCGAGGGCAAGTCCCTATCCACTGTGCTATTGCTCTGGCTCCTCAATTCTTCTGAAAAGAGTATTGCTAATAGTTACATAAATATAACTTTTGCACAGCATCATTTTAGACTGGAACTTGTACACATGTGGAAAAGCTTTACTGAAGTGTTTGGGGGAAAAATACTGTTTTTTTCTGTCTTTCCAGCATGTCTTAAGTATGCAGTGAGTGGGAGAAGTGGCTTCTGACCCCTCTGTGTGTGAACTTCACGCCTGTACCCCTGCCTCCCCCTTCCTCTGAGGAGTGGGCCCAGAACTGCAGGGACACCAGGCACGTTCATCAGCCAGCCAGGCTGCAGGTCTTCGGGCCTGGGAGGGACTGATACTGTGTAACATCTGGAATCTGCTCCCCAGCAGGCTTTATGGCTGCAGAAATAGGAAAGTGAGGATTGCTCTTTTGAGGAAGGTTTGATGGGTGGGAGAAAAGGAAAGGCTGAGCTAAGGAGTCCTTTCATCTGCTCAGACTTGAGCTTCCTCCTCTGCAGGATGAGTCACTGCTTTGTGTGGTGACAACACTGTAGGTGCTGTGCGTGGCCCCTGGCAGCCCCACCTCAGGGGGTCCCACTCAGGAGCCCGGTCTGGCCCGGCTCTCTCCCAGGATGCCGTGACAGCTGCTGTGCCTCCAGCGTTCCTTCAAACCTCTCATGTCCATACAAAAGTGCTCTTCATGCCCCAGTCACTGAGATGAAAACATACTTATCTTTCATAAATGAAAGCTTTTTGGCCCTGCTGCCTCTTATGAAGACTTTTCTAGCTATGAATTTGGAAAACCAGCCTTCATATATCATTTTCAAAACAATTCTCAAGTAATTCCACCTTTCCCCATTTCTTTAACCTTGAGACACTGTGTTTGAATCTTTTTAAGTTCTTAGGTCAATTTGTACTTTTCTGATTAATGGCATGTGATTAGAAGTTCATCATGAAAAGGTGTTTTTCCGAAGGAACAGTAGAAATAAAACTCCTGTTAATGGAGGTGCTGCCACATTTAGTGCTAAGGGGAAAAAATAAAATTGCTGTCCAGCCTTAGTCCTTACAGCTGCCAGGAATTAGAATCTTCACTTGCAGATCCAAATATCTGAATTTTTTTTTAAATCACAAAGGACCATTTTTGTTTGTTTTTGTGCCACACCCTACAGTGCTCCAGACTTTTTCCTGCCTCTGTAGTTAGGACTCACTCCTGGTGGGCTCAGGGACGATTAGGGGTGCCAGGGATTGAACCTCGTTCTGCTGTGTGCCAGGCAAGCACCTACCCACTGTACTATCGCCCTGGCCATGATCACAGAGAGCCTGAACACTGCAAGTTTAAGGAGCTCCTCATGTCCCATGATAAGCCATTTTATCCAGGTGATTTACTCTCTCCCTCTCTACTTGTTCATGTGCACGTGTGTGTTGTCTTAAATGCACCCATGGCCTGCACATGCATGGCAAGTAACTTACCACTGAGATTCCTTCGCAGCCTTTCCTGTTGGTTTGTTTGTGTAAAAATCTTTATTTGGGACCTGTAGCAACTGCAGTTAGGTTTGTGCAAAAGAGAAGAACAAAGAAACAAGGGAACTTTCCAGCAGAGTGTCCTTTCCTGTCCAGGCAGAGCGGGTCCACGTGCTCGCCAGCAGGAGAGTTGTGAAGGATGAGCCAGTCCCTTTGCGTCCATCCCTCGCCTGAAGTGCATCTCCTGGCTGCGTTTCGCTGTGCAGGGGGTCCAGTCTGGGTCCAGGGCAGTTGTGGTCTGGCTGAAACCAGATGTTATAGAACTGGGAAGAAAGGATAGGTTCTGCGGAACAGATGGCAGACTCTGTCAGGAACCCCAAACATAGCTGGAAGATACATGATGACTTTCTCACGCCCTAGCTCTATTCTTTGGATCCCATTAAATTCTTCTCATTGTTAACTCTTTAAATTGGGGGAACCCATTTTTCCAGATCCACAGGGAAGGGCTTGAAGCCTGCTCTGACGAGGTGACTGTATCTCAGACAGTCCCGGGCTTCAGAGTCAGGAAGACAAGTCTGGGTTGCCTGAGTTTGTCCTTCCTCAACTCATGATGAGGTTATATAACATTATCTACTCTCCAGTGGCAGGAAAAGACAGAGGGGTTTCTTCATAGGGCAGCTCTCCCTTGTACTCTCTGTGTAGTCTAAGCGGTGTCTGGGGAGGGTGGTATGGTGGGGCCTTGAACTCTGCATGTGTTCATCGCCATGGCACTTCCCCAGTGGTAGGGTCTTCTCCCCTGTGGCCGCAGTGTTCTCTCTGTGGAGCTTCAGGTTGTCTGCGTGGACATCCCTCGTTTCAGAGTTGGCTTTCTCAGTGGAATTTGTCATAGTCTCAGCACCAAGCTCATCTACACAGACATGGGCACTTTGGGAGCTTCTCCACTTCTAGAGACCACCCGTGGTGGTGCTCTGGTACTGAGCTCTGTACTCAGAGGTGTGTTTTGATGGTGCTCAGGGGACCTTGTGGTGCCAGGGACCCAGCCCAGGCCTGGACGTGCAAAGCTTGCACCCAGCCCATTGAGACCCCTCTCTGGTCGTTTTCTGCATTTGTTTTAGTTGCCAGCCCAGCACTACGATGGCCCCCAGAGCTGCACATGGCGGTGATGGGGACAGATAGTATCAGGCCTCAGAGGGGCCCTATACAGTCTACATTGCAGCCTCTCCTCTTTGAGCTCTCTCCCTGGCTCTGCTTCTGTAGCTGCAGGGGATTTATTATCAGAGATCATGACTATTTTTGATCACTTGATCACTTGACTTCCCATTAATCATCGATTTGCTCGAGCAGGCGCCAGTAACGTCTCCATTTGTCCCTGTCGCGTGCTAGTGTAGCCCAACGGCGTCTGTTCATTCTAGGAACACAAAGAGCCTCAAGCCGATCGTTCAGGATCTTGATGAAGAAGTCTGACCATCTGGTAGGTGGGCAACCACGCAGTCTTTTGACGTCCCGTGGAATCCAGTCGGTAATAACTCTAGTTCAGCGGTCATCTCCAAATCTCATTATGTGTCCAGCCCATCTGATTTTTGATGCCTTGGCAAATGAGACAGCGTCCCTGATTCTTGATCATCAATGGAGTTTGGAACTCCAGATTCTTTCTCTCATTTGAGTGAAACATGATACTCCAAGCATAGCTCTTTTGATTCCTCTTTGGGAGACCCGAATAGCATTCTCATCCTATTTTCGTAGGGCCCAGGTCTCTGAGGCATATGTTAATGCAGGAAGAACAGTGGAATCAAAGAGATGTGCCCAGAGCCGGAGGTTTTTTGTCCTCTTAGCTATTTCTTCGACACTCTTAAAGGCGTTCCAAGTTGCTCTCTTCCTCCTGAGCAACTCAGGTTAATACCCATCTTCCAGAATTGCTGCACCATATTTGATAGGGTTCAAATATGGTTTGAACCATGGGAACACCTACAAGGGTGATTAGAGGCCGCCCCAAAAGTTTCTATCCCTCTCGGAGAGCCCGGCAAGCTACCGAGAGTATTCTGCCCACACGGCAAATTCTTGCAAGCTATCTGTTGTGTATTCGATATGCCAAAACCAGTAATTACAATGGGTCTGATTCCCTTGACCCTGAAGGCATCACCAATATGGCAGCATTGAGAAGGATGAGGAAGGAGAGGCTGATAAAATCTCAAGGCCGAACTAGGCCACCAAAATGAAGGAAGACAAAAATGATTGTCTGTACTTTCAGTGCATGTATGCTAGCATTGGATGCATCCATCGAGGACCTGATGGTACATGCATGAAAGATCAAGTACGACATCATTGGTCTGACCAAGACAAGAAGGCATCAATCACATCATGCCATTTTCGACACTGGAGAAGAATTGTTCCTCGGAACATGCCATAAAAGAGGTGTTGGAGTCGTCGGTGTCCTTGTCAACACGAACTTGGCCATGAGCATTGATTCATTTAAATGTCTAACAACCCGAATCAGACGTTTACACTTGAATAGATGTGGCTCACTGCCGGCAGTTTCTATCTTCGTTGTCTACGCACCAACATCCAATTATGATGAAGAAGAAATTGAGAAGTTCTACATGGAGCTGGAGAGGTTCTATAAAGAAGAGCACACCTTCTACAAGATCATTGTGGGTGATTTTAATGCCAAGATAGGACCGAGAAGATCAGCCAAAGAACTCCACATCAGGACTCATGGCCTAGAATGGAACGAACAGGGTGAAAGACTGTCTGAATTCATCATGTTGACTAAGACCATCCATGGTAACTCACAGTTCCAGAAGGCAGAATCTAAACGTTGCACATGGGAGTCTCCCGG